CCCCAAAACCCCAAAACCCCAAAACCCCAAAACCCCTATTTTCATAAATTTGGTAGAATTTATAAATATAATATTCAAGATGTCTATCATTGACGAAGTAGATGCTAAATTTAAAGAATATAACAATCTCTCTGAACAAGAGGGTACTCTTGAAGCAAGGAAGGGCTTGATGGCAGATCTAAAGGTATACCTATATCTAACTGTATAGATTGCCCTGACCCAATTCGAGACTCTTCCCCCATCGACTCATCAACCAGATCCAAAAGAATGTATTATCGCAAGTAAGCTAGCTTATGTTATTTATAGGGGGAATTTATGAATTTGCTGTCTTCCAAAGCATTGAAGAAGGAGATATTGAAGGTTTCAAACGTAATTATTCCACCCTCAACTTCTATTACAATGAATTAAGGTATTTTCTTGTTGTCATTTCTAGAGATATTTTGCCTGAATCATCCAAGAAGAATTCAGTAATTGGATTGTACTTGCTATACCTTCTTTCACAGAATTTGATAAGTGAGTTCCATGTAGAATTGCAGAGTATCCCTTCAGCAGACCATAATAATATCTATATCAATGTACCAGTGTCACTTGAGCAGTATTTTGTAGATGGAAACTATGCTAAGGTGCTAGCCACCAAGCATGCTCCACTTGATGTGTACAATTTCTTCATTAAGAAATTTATTGATACTGTCAGGACTGAAATTGCTAGAAGTGTAGAAGTCTCCTACAAAAAGCTCAGCATTAAGGACGCCTGTGAGGTCTTCATGCTTGATGATATTGACCAACTTAAGGAGTTTGTTGAAAGAGAGAGTGATATTAATAACTCTGATAGAACTATTTCGTGGGTAATCAAGGATGACTATCTCCACTTCGACACCATCACGATTGAGAAAGAAGGAATCCCAGCTAAGAAGATGATCTACCAGGTCCTTGATTACGCCAGAGAGCTATAAATGTGAAATGCCTAATTCCAATAAGATTATTTTTAAAAGGGGTTTTGGGGTTTTGGGGTTTTGGGGTTTTGGGG